CACTATAATATAAAAATATTTTATTGCATATAAGTATAACTAGTAGGAATATAGTCATAATTTAGGGGATGACTGGATGAGGATGGATCACAGCCGCGCGGGGTGGTGATTACTGATTTGTTTTCGATTAGGTACCTATTATTTATTATCACTGGTTAGAAATTCTTCATATTATACATTTATATTTTATACTATATAATTTAATATTATATAAATTATTTTATTAAATGTACATATGAAAAATACGATTATCGTATTTACTACGATATTCAATGACGATTTTGATGAAAAGCATTTTATAACTTGAAAAATCACTCCCTCCTGTCAACACTCGATTTTTTGAGCGCCAATGACGGGCTTTGTTAAAGTTATAACTTAATATAATGATCTATAATCATTAGTATTTTAAAATCTGGGCTCGGGACCATTGAATTAGCATGATATGTTTAATGGAAAGAAGTGCATATATTATAATATATTATACAGGGTGATACCAAGCATTATCACCCCCATTTTTCCCTTGATAATGAATTTATTTAAATTCTGTTTCTTGGAATTTCTATATATACTCATAGACCATATTTTTAAGTTCTTGAATTTTTTTTTGTACTACTTAGGTATAAGGAGTCCTGTGGTGATCCAATAATCAAACAGAAGGGTGGAACAATCGTTTTTCAAAATTAGTAGGCCATAGGTACCTACTGGTACTAGTAGTACTACTACTATTATATACGTCTAATGTTTATACTTAATAAATAATAATATATTAAATGGATATAATACACAATGCTCTGCTCGCTCCCTCCCTAGTCCCTAAGATATTACTATGCCGTGCCAATACTCGCGGTTGTGGTTATAAGATATTTTAAATATTGAAATAAAACATACAACTATATAAACCCTGTAGTATTATTTCAGTTCCACTATTGTCTTCAGAATTGTATAAATTATTATTTATTATTTATTGATAATAAAATATGTTATATACCCTTGTACTCTTAACTGTATTCCATTAAATAAACATACATTATTGTCAACATGAACTCAACATTATATTATATTATATTATACATTATTACGATGTACAGTAGAAATCACTATAACGAGCATCGCTTAGAACGAGATACTGCTTACAACAAGCAAAACGTTAGGTCCCAGCACGAGCACATATGATTGCATGTTAAAATATACGTCTACAACGAATAATATGGTTATTACGAGTTATCGGCTATAACGAGTAAAATAAAGCTGACTTGACTAACGACCTTCCGGTTACTACGAACAAGTACCTGCAAGATAAGAACTATTTTCGTTTCAGAAATTCAAACAGATGAAGATATAGTCAACAATGTCATAGCCAGCCAAAAAGTTGGGCTAGATAATGATACTGATATTGATGAGCTTGATGATGAGTTTTAAACTGTGCCGTCAATATCCGAAACTCGTGCTGCATTGAGAACTCTAGAAAGATTTTATTACACAAAATATGAAGGGACAGATGCTGAAAGAAAAGCGTTGTCTTTATTAGACACATCGATCAACTCTAACACGAAGCAACAACAAAGTTCGATCTAAGATTATTTTAAGAAATTAAATCAAAATAAATTAATTCAAGTGTTTTATAATTATGTATTAAATCTCCAATTATAATAATAAATGTATGTATTTATGTAATAATGTATAAATAATGTGTGTACATGCATGTATAAATTAATCTCAAATAAAAATTTTTTAAAAAAAGTCGTCGGTTTTATTTTTGTATTTCCGCTTTTAATCGGTTACAACAAATTTTCGTTCCAACCGCATATATGGCCGATTGTAAACTCGGCCAGAATATCGGTCAAGATAAAAAGGTAATAATAGGTCTATGGTAAACTCCGCCAGTTTTTTTTTTTACCTGGTCAGTGCGACAGTACTCACATTGCCACGTGCCTTCTCACATTAAATACGTTTACCTACATCTATTGTGATGAATGATGATATATGTCAAAATTGATAAAATATTGTCAAGGTTATAGATCGATTCAAATTATTAATAATTTATAATAATTTATAATTTAAATTATTTATTAATTATTATTATGAAAAATATGATTTTGGATTATTTATTATGATTTTTTATACTATGATTTAAATATTGATATGATATGATATGATATTATATTATAATTTTTTTTTAATAATATATCATATTAATTTTATACTACTATTTGATTTTCTTCACTGGCGGAGTTTACATAAACTCAATTTTACCTGATTTTTTTCAGTGGCGAAGTTTACATGAACCCAATTTTACCTGTTTTTTTTTTCTGGCGGAGTTTACAGTAAAAAAAGGTACTTGTGGCGGAGTTTACATGCGCCCGCATATATAACAAGCTACCGGTTATAACGAGAAAAACTAGCTAGCCCTTGAAACTCGTTATAACCGATTTCTACTGTACTTATATAATTATTAGGTACTTGAATTTTTAAATAAAAATGATATAAAAAAAAAACACACATCATTGTAAAATCAATACATTCATCGTTCCACTCAGAATCTAAAAACTAATTTAATTGGAAACTGAAAATGTAAACATAAACACATAAAACTAAACAGTTCAAAACAAATCAAAATATATTGAAAATTTTGTCATGGATAGAAAATGCAAATATAAACAACCAGTGAAAATGTCATGTACCTATATACGTTCATTTGTTTTAGAGTCACACCAAAAACCAAAATCGATTTTGAGTAAAAATTCCCGTTTTTCCTTAATTTTTATGTTGTTTTTCCCGGTGCTTGTGAAAACTATTGGGAATTTTAAAATTTTACCTCCCGAATGCACCAACTAAATTCACTTTCCCATCGAACAAGATACTGTTGAAGAAAATCGAAGCAGTTTTACTGCCCCAAATCGTGATGACAGACCCGCAAAAAAATAAATAAATAAAAAAAAAAGCTTTCTGCTGTACAGTAGGTTACAAGTGCCAAGTGGGTCACTGTATAATGGATGGTATTAAATTTGAATTCAATGATATAATTAATTGTATAAGGTAAACGATTCTGAGCAAAAACGGCCAGTCAGCCTGTTATGATATTATCAAGTATATATGATGATATTATTGTGAATAAAGTATAATTTATATATTTACCTATTTACGACCCTTGTTTTAAATTTTCAATCCTTAGCTATAAAAGTTGAATATTTTATAAATGTTTAACTACAAAATAACTATTAAATTTTAAATATGATAAATTTTGTCAAAATACGAACTTTAAATGCTTATAAAAAAAATTGTGCCTATGTATTTTTAATATTTTTCAACTGATATTGTTACAATATATCATAAGATTTTATCATGTATAGAAAATACAAACATAAGCAACCAGTGAAAATTTCATGTATATACGTTAATTTGTTTTAGAGTTACACCAAAAACCAAAATCGATTTTGTGGAAAAAAGATTTTACGTAAAAATTCCCTTTTTTCCTTAATTTTTATGTTGTTTTTCCCGTCGCTTTTGAAAATGATTGGGAAATTTAAAATTTGACATCCTGAATGCACCGACTAGATTCACTTTCAAATTGAACAAGATACTGTTGAAGAAAATCGAAGCAGTTTTACTGCCCTAAACGGCTAAACCGTGATGACAGACATAAAAATAAAAAAACACACATCATTGTAAAATCAATACATCATTCATCGTTCCACTCAGAATCTAAAATGAACATTTTTATTTAATATATTTTATTTGATTAAAACATTAGATTACAATGCAATTATTATAAAATTTAAAATAGTTGCGGGACGCTGTCAGGGCCCCTAAGCCGACGATTAGAGGCCCTCTACAAGGGGCATTGCCCCTGCGGTTGTTGCGGCACTGTACCTATGTAATATGTATATATGTACCGGACTTTTTAGGCTTAGGACTTTGGTATCTATACTGTAGACTTTTTGTGCTTTGGGCTTTTTTTCTAGGAATTTTTTATTTCAGACTTTTTTACCTCGATTAATTCTGTAGTTTTATCATGCTATTTCAAATTTTTATAGTTATATAAAGACTTGAACGCGTATTTGTATGTACATCGTTCACAGTTCACAGGTTGTAATAATATTTTGCCATTTTGGCAACACTGAAACAACGCATTAGTCCTAAATCCTAATGCATATTATTTTAATTGTGACGGTCATCAATACTTCATTATTATTGTTAATGTTATTATAATGATATACATATATTATACTGGGACATGAACATAATATAATAGCAGTACTGGGAATAGGAGAATAGGCAACGGAACAAATATGACGTAATCATTGTTATTTACGAATGGGCGTGGAATGTGAATGCACGGCCGTGACCGTGGTCACCACTTACCACCACTTACCGCCGTGGCCGTATACTCGCACCATACCCCTCCATCATCACTCTCCACTCACCGCTGATCGAACCCCCCCCCCCCGCATTGACTAGCAAAACACCATTACCACACTCCAACACCAGCAATATATTACCTCCAGAGTCCAGACGAGGTATATTATTATATTATTATTATTTTCGTTAGAATGGTAATGACTAATGGTTTATTTTTGTTATATCTATGTAGACAGTCAGTGTTGTAGACACAATCGTGAGCGTCAGCGCAATTACACTGAACACACAAAAATCTAGACTCTAGAGTAGTAGTAAAACTAACTACTAAGTCATTAAGTCATTACACAGTACACGGTGGTTTCGTGCGGACGTGTTTAACGAGCTCTGACGGAATTTTGTTTGATAAATTATTCACACTCTTGGGTATATTTTATAAATTATTGTTATTATTATAATATTATCAAACCCTGTACGGCTCAACGGCTGTACAATAATAATATCTCCAATCGAAAATAATATAGTATATTAAATACTTTTATTTAAAGTATTTGTATATACGTTTTTTTAAATACCTAATAAATAATAACTATAATTATTAAATTTTTGTTTTTCTTTAGTAAGTCGTTACTATTTTTTCAAAAATGTCGTACAAAGTTACGTACTTCAACGTCACTGCTCTGGCCGAACCCATCAGATTCCTTCTGTCCTACTTGAACATCGATTTCGAAGACTTTCGTTTTGAACGTGAACAATGGCCTGCACTCAAGCCTAGTAAGTTTTTATTAAAGAAGACTCATATCTAGGCCCTTAATATCTTCAGCTGCAAACACAGCACTTAATGATGTACCTACCTATAGGCATAGGCACAAATAGGGGGGGGGCTTAAAGCTAGTCCCCCCAAATGTCCATAGCCCGCAAACATTTCCTACATTTTGTTTTAAGCTTATTCAATATTATATCTAAGTAGCACTTTAACCCCCACCCCAAATCCCAAATACAATTTGCCCCTATACCTATAGGCTATATTATATTTAAATAGGAACTTTTACTAAATACTATAAGTACTTAGGTATTACTTATACTTGCTTTTTAAAATCTAAATCATTAACGATTTGAGTATACTCTGTTCGGAATAAGAAACATCTACGGCGGCGGATCAATACAGGTTAGGTTAACACAACTATATCTAAGACCAGAGGCGTACTGGGAGGTATCCGGCCCAGTGGGAATACGGGGTTACCGGCCCAAATATAAGTTAAATATAATCCCCTCCCTCCTAAAAAAAGTATACATATTTTCTTGAAATCTTTAATCACTTCTATATTATAATAAAATATATTGCTAATGTCTTGTAACTAAAAATGTTATTTATATTAGAAGGCAAATACTGTAACATACTAATCAACAAATAGTCATTATTAGGCTAGGAATCAATATCAATATCTCTAATTAAATCATGCTCGTTTTGTTACTATAGCAGTAGACTTCCAATCACACTAAAATTTAAAAAAATATAATTATATGCTAAATAGAAAATGCTTATAATAAATAATTTAATAATTTAATTGTCAATAATGTTAAAAACATTAGGTAGGTAGGTACCAATGATTTTTCTGTGGCTGTGCCTGCTTGATTTTTAGTCGCAGTAAATGCTAAACTTGAATCAATATCTCTTATTAAATCATGCTCGTTTTGAACTATAGCAGTAGAATTCCTATCACACTAAAATTTAACAAATATATAATAACATGCTAAATAGAAAAGGCTTATAATAAATAATTAACACATTTTTATTCTTTTTTTTTTTAAGTTGAATTATTTTAATTTATTTTTATTTAATTTAATTATTAAGAAACTTACTAATAACTTCTCTGCAGCTATATTGTTTTGATCACACTAAAATGTAAACAAATATAAACCTAATTAATATGCTAATATTAATACTAATGTATACTAAATATTTTTACATTAGGTAGGTAAATGTGTAAATTAAAATTATAAAATAAATACATACTGGATTTTCATTATTCGACTCATTACCACTAGGTTTTGATTTCTTAAATAGGTACAACTAATATGTTTTGACATGATTGGGCTGCAATTTGTAATTAAAATTTTTTTTTCGCGTCCTTTGGCAGCTCCACCTTTTGGCTTTTTAGAATTCATTATTTAAAATTTTTACAAACAAAAATAAAAAGCGTAAATATATCCAATATAAGGAACGACCCACTATTATAATAATATATGTCTTAATACAGACTAGTAGACCATACTAGATAAGAATACTATTATAGACAAGACTAAAGTTTGTAATGTGTAGCGTTTGTACTTGAGCAGCAGTGTGCACGACGTCACTTCGTCACTCGTCAGTCAGCAATCGGAAATTCTGAACTCGCGTAAAAATAATTATTAATTGTTATATTTTGGATGTTTATGGTATATCTATTATCTATGCTCACCCACACTGATATGATTTTACACATTTACATAAATGTACAATAAACACTAGAACACAAATACACAATACTACAAAAAACCCGTCAGCCACCACCCGGCGACCAAACGATGACCTGCATTTAAATGGAATTATTATCCATATTACATTGTTATTTGTTTATTAAAAGTTATAAATAGAAGTATCACCGTACCAAGCTGAATTAAATGTATATTTTCATTATTTTGTGTTAATAAAAACTTGCATTTATAACCATTTTATAATATAAGATAAACATAATAGACTTATTTTGATATAATTATTATTATTTTATTTTAGTTAAAATATTTAAATTTTAAATTTACATGGTTCGGCCCGGCGGCCTTAGAAAGCCTGCGGCCCAGTAGGACTTTTCCTACCGTCCCACCTGGCCAGTCCGCCTCTGTCTAAGACTCCTCTTAACCCTGTAGATATTATATAACGTATTATATAATATATTGTATGCATTTAAAATTTGGAATTTTTCCGTTTTATCGTACACCCTTATAGCAATTTTTTTTTGTTTTAACGTATGTTAAGTATGCTGAAAAAGTTGGTGAAATCAGAATTTGGAGGTTGGACTTAGTTTTAAAGTTATATCTAATTGAAATTTATAGTATTTTCATGTACACCCAGGATCCAAAAATTGTTTTGTATAAATCTATGGTAAATATAAATAATAATCACAGTTCAATAGGTATACCCAAGTATCTTGTTACATATTATTCAGTTATGTATATAAGTGGTTTACATGGATCTTATACTCACAGACCGGACCTGTTAACTTAAATCCGATCAATGATAGGGGATCTGGTGGTAGTATAAACTATAAATATTTATTTTAAAGCATAATGTAAAACTAGGCATCAGTCACTCAGAGAACTTAATACCTCTATCTTGGCTCACGAGTCATGATGCATAATGTTATTAGCCAGACTGCTCTATGAGTATAAGGTCAATGGTGGCTTATTAACTGTAACCACAGTCTTCTATATAATATTGAAGTCTCTGTCTGTAATATATCAATATCATATTATTTCAGTTTTGATCATAGATCTATAAACCAATGAACAGCGCTTAGAGAGAGTAACCAGTGGACGAAGTAGCCGAGAAAGAAAGGACTATGCGTTTGGGACGTTACTGTGTTTTATCTCTCACTCTATCTCGTCCACAAACTGTAGGTGATAGGTGTTTTCCATTAGTTTATAGGTCTGTAGTTTTGATATGTCGATAATAGATATTTATATCATATATAGACTATAGAAAATAATATATACTTAAGTTTATTGAATAAGTATTAAGTACTAAATTTATTTTTTTCATTTGTTTTAGCCATGCCATTTGGCAAAGTGCCCGTTTTAGAAATTGACGGCAAAGTATTGAATCAATCAACAGCTATTACTCGTTATTTAGCCAAAAAAGCTGGGTTAGCTGGTAGTGATGATTGGGAGTCTATGTTAATCGATATTGCTGTTGATAACATTCATGATTTACGACAAGGTAGATATGAACTATAAGTGATTATTAACTATAATAAATATTGTTTAAATTATTGATGGTAAATAATAAATATTTTATAATAAATATTTTTATAGCTATAGCATTATATGCTTATGATTCAAATGAAGCAACTAAGGAAGCAAGATATGCACCTTTGGTCAATGAAACAATTCCATTCTATATGGATAAATTTGAAAAAAATGTTGAAGAAAATAATGGATACTTTGTAAATGGAAAGGTAACTACCCTTTTAATTTATTCTACCTATTTATAATTTTTCTAAAAACTTGATAGAAACTGTATGTCAAAATATTGAATACAACTCAAATTAAAAATCAATTTTCTTAAATTTTATTTAGTTACAATAAACTATCTTTTGTTTCTTATTTGACGAGATAGTGATACAAGTTATCCCTCTTGTTATCCTAATTATTGCCATACCTGATATCTACTGTCAAAAATTGCGAAATTACAAATGTTAACTCTTACAAGGTGCCCCTCGTCTATTTTAGGCTCTAAGAGTGTCTAATGTTGTGTATTCTTAAATTTAATTAATTTAATTCAATAAATACTTGGTTTTATACATAACCTCTGGTCTCATTAATGTTAGGTATTTAATATTTTCTTTGTTTTTAATGTATTATAATTAATTATTACATTCATGCTTGTCAATTATTCATTTACATTTTAATTTTAATATTTCAATTATATTTTTTTGTAATAACTAAGATTTTAATTAATAAGATATTTATAAATTATAAGTAATTGAAGAATTTTATATTAATTATAATCTTATTTTTTTTTCAGTTGTCTTGGGCTGATTTATTTTTTGTAGCAGTTTTAGGCTACTTGAATTTTATGGCAAAAATTGATTTATTAGAAGGTCGTCCAAAATTAAAAGCACTTAAAGAAAAAGTATTGGAAGTACCCCAAATTAAGGCATGGGTTGCTAAACGACCAACAGATAATCCTTAAATATCAAACAGCACATATTATTAATAATGATATTAAAATTATATTTATTTTTAATTTAATAGTACCTCATCAGATGAATTTTATTTTTACTCATTTTATAATATTATAATAATATAATTAAAATAATGTATTCAATTTTTTTTATATGAAAGTAAAGCACTTGAAAAGTATTATGAAAGTTAATAAAGCATACATTATACAAGTATATAATTTGTGTTTCTTACCATATGCCATATACTTATTAAAGATTTAAGAGTTGTTATTTTTTTTATTAGATTTATCTAAAAATATTTTTAGCTACTAAATGATTTGCACATTTTTGAATTTTGTCAATATATTTGAACTTCAAATGCTTGTAAAAAAAAATCATGCATGCATTTTAAATATTTTTAAATTGCAATAATAACAACTTATTTTTAAGCTTTTTGACCAAGCCTTATACTTTCATCAACATTATAAAAAAGGTGCTCTGCTGTACAGTAGGTTACAAGTGGGTCACTGTATAATGGATGGTATTAAATTTGAATTCAATGATATAATATCATTGTATAAGAAAAACAATTATGAGCGAAGACGGTATGTCAGTGTAGGTATAACACATTGTATACATATCTATAATGGTATCAAAAAAAATTGAAATATTATAGGTACCTATAATAAATTCCAAATTAATCATATCACAATATCCATTAGGTACTTATAACGCGTTATACATCAACAACAAACCCTGATACTATCATAGGTACCTATATAATAGAGTAATTTAGAAGTTTCAAGTATCAACGAATAATATTACACAATCACAACAAAATAACTAAAATAGTTATTCTAGGTTTTTTTTTTATGTAATTTTGTCCAAAGTTGAACTGAAAATGACTATAAAAATACTGTGCTAACTGTGCTTATGTATTTTTTAGATTGTTTGGTAACAGAATTAACTACTTACGTGGAATCTTGTTTTAAATTTTCAATCCTTAGATATAGAAGTTGAACATTTTATACATTTTTAACTACAAAATAATTATTCAATTTTAAATTTGATAAATGTTGTCACAATTCGATTTTTAAATGCTTCTAAAAAAATTTGTGTCTATGTATTTTTAATATATTTCAACTCAACTGTTATTGTAACAATATATCAGGAGCTGTGTATTAAATTTTTACACTTTTGTACCCAACTAATAAAATTTGATTGACATTTATAGAAAAAAAACCTAAAAAAATGGAAACTGAAAATGTCTGTAAACAGCTCAAAATATTTGGAAAATGTTATGGTGTATATGAAATGCTAATATAAACATTCAGTCAAAATAACATGTACCTAAGGTAATTTGTTGAAGAGTTGCACCAAAAACCAAAATCGACTTTTTCGATAACAGATTTTGAGTACAAATTCCCGTTTTCCTTAATTTTTCTTTTGTTTTTCAATTCGCTTTTGAAAACTTTTACTTTTGACCCCCTCAAAGTACCAACTAGATTCACTTTCCTATCAGAAAAGATACTGCTGAAGAAAATCCAAGCAGTTTTACTGTCCTAAAAGGGGATGACCAGTGCTTGTAACTTCATGCACTAAAAAATGCATAAATAAGCATGCATTCATGCACTAAAAATTGTCAAAATATGCATTTATATGCCTTCTCATTTTTAAATTACGAACACAAAATATGCATTATGTAAAAAAAACATGACCAAATTTTAAAATAATAGGAATAAATCCATACATTTTAAAAGTATTTTATTCCTTTTTATTTTTATATATTTAACTGTCAAAATTAATAAAATAAAAATAAAATTAATACTTGTGAAGTTCAAATAGCTTTGACCTATATAAATTTTAATTAGGTAGTCATTTTTGTCTAATTTGTGTACTCCCTTATTCAGCACCAACAATGAAAACATTTGGAATTAAATATTAGGTTTTTCATTTTGAGATAATTTAGTAATATATATTTTATAAGTGTATTTTTTATGTTTTCCAACTTAAGAGGGCGCACTAGTAGACAAAATATGGCATAAAACCATGGTTTCGTAATTCAAGTAATACGGCTTATTAAAGTAGTTTACAGTAAAAATACATATTATAAAAATTGTAGAGTAGAACTTTTTTTACAATCGTAAGAAGCCCGATTTTCGATATTTTTATTAATTAGCTAAATAATTAATCAATAAAAAATTTAAAAAACCGTTATAATTTACCATGCGATATTGGACGATTGGAACAAGATATCAAAAATCGGAAGAAACTTTTCAAATATTTGTCTAAAAAATATTTTTATGAAATAATATGCACTAATGACTGTAAAAAATCAACTATATGCCAAATATGACTTTACACCCAAAACATGCAAAAACATGCACTATCAAACTTCATATTATTATTACTATTGTTATGAAACGGATTTGTATCACAGTTAGCATGTTTTCCTGTGTAGCAAAAAAAACATGCAGATGCATGAACTTACGAGCCCTGGTGATGACAGACACAAAAAAAAAATTTAAAAAAAAACTGTGACTAAGGAATTTTTATATTTTTCATCTGCCTTTGTAACAATATACTAGGGGTCTTCTATTAAATTTTCAAGCTTTTTTAACCAACAAATAAAATTTTATTGATATTTATAGAAAATATACCTAAAAATAATGGAAACTGAAAATGTCAGTATTCAAAATTTCCAATAAAATACAACTCATTACAAGCGATGCGAGTTAAGTACACGATACATATTTAATATATTATAATATACATTTAAATAATAAATTATTATTTATAAAATAAGTACCATTTTTTTTTGTTATAAAATAAGTATCTACTCCTATCAACATTTCAAAAATTAGAAACTCATTTTAACGGACATCTTAAATAGCCGGGCCCATGTGCTCCAAGTCCAATAGCTCCCCCCCCCTTGTGAGGCTCTAGGCTCTACACTTACGTCGTATTTATAGATGTGTGTACACTGTACAGACGATATATTTTAAAAAATAAGCAAAATAAACACACGACATTGGTGTATCCAAATAGACTATCCATAACGCCGTGTTACCTATCAATTTATGTATTGAAATATCCAAAGAAACATAGGTACGTTTTACGAGAAACAGGAAAAATGGTCTCTACTGTTTAAGTTATTAATAGTCGAATAAAAACACTGACGAAAAATGACAAAAAACACATTGAACGCTTAGTATAATATATAATATATTTTATTTATTTATATAACCTGTGACCAATCAATGCATTATGGTCATGGTTGGAGGTACCTACAGTGGCGTAACTAGGACTGATTGCCCGTGGCAAAAATTCCAGCAGGTTCTTGGTCTTAAAAAATATTGTAATATGAAGAGCATGCACTTACTCACACAATCTATATCTAGATCCACCACCCATGCTATAATAATAGGTAATAATAAATAAATAAATAATTAAAAACATATTTATTATACAATTATGAATAATAATATGGTCACTTTTTATTACACATTATAATATGTATCTCATTTTTTTAAATAATATAAATAAGGCAATAACAAAATATTTAAAATATTTAATTTTATGAAAATTGTGTTGACAATTGAAAATATTTATTTCGATTAACGGGTGACGACTGACAACAGAATAACTAATGACAAAATAATATCGAAAAACGACGGCTGTTTCAGCCAGGCTGTATTATAATAGACTATATATTAGGATAACAGATAACGAATCTAGTAATCGGCAGAATTCAATACGGTTCCTAGACTTGAGGTTATACAGCTCTAAACATAGAGTGCGTTTCCTTGTTATTTCTGTTCCAAAACAATAATTATATTTACATATCTATAATACTAATATCGCAGACGCCTAGCGTATACGTGCAAACGCTACACATAAAATAATCTATAATCTACCTATAAGCGTGTTGCGTGTATCAGTCATTTTTCTATTTATTAAATTTATTTTATTTTAAAGTGATTTAATTTTACTATTAAAAAAAAAAAAACCAAAATTCCATAATAATGGTGGTATGTTTTTATGATTCACCACATTTTTGGAAGGGCCCTCTCTCCCTCTGGGCCCGTAGCACTTGCCCTGTCGTGCCACCCTGTAAGTAAGCCACGGTACCTATAATATTATAATATGAATTGTATAATAAATAAAAATCCTGCAGTATAAACAAGGTAATCTTTTAAGAAATAAACACTAAAAATCTTAAAAAATTTTTGATTTCACTCGAGTTGAGCAGGTAAAAGTGACCGTAGTCTAAGTATTTATTTTTTCCAATCAACGATAAATAATAATTACTCCAAACTAACTTTACACCTAGGTTACGACCACGTCGGGATACAGCCACAAATAGCCACTAAGAATATTGCAAGACACTCAGAACTTAACGAATATTTTTAAATCCAGGGAGGATTAGATGGAATAAGGAGTTCAGTTTTACTGATAGGTCTGATACCATTGGTGACTAGGTGACATGGCGCTTATAATGGGCACTAAGCCTGATTGAACGGGCCCTCCATTTAACCAATTAAAACTAAAATTAATTAAAACCACGCGTACTAATACACCTTAACGATTATTTTGTTGTTATTTATATAGTTTTTCTCATAAACTACAAATACATATTTTATAAAATGACCTATTTTAAGTAGGTACTTAAGTACCACTCGTGTCACATTTTTAATCAATACAGATATTACCCGAGAAGTCGAGTGTTGAAATATAAAACATTGCTTATCAATACCAATACATTCGCAGCTCTTCTCAGAATCTAATATTATTATTATTTTATTTTTTTATAGTAAAGTAAAAATAATATGCATGCTCTAACTTAATTGATTATAATTACTAACCATTATTTTTTATTTTTAATGTTGTAAATACACAATTTTTAAAACTTTCAAGAATGGAAATCACAAGTAATATAATAATTATTTATTTAGACTAACATGTTTTTTTATTCTAACAAATAATTATATAAATATTTTTTGAAGTAAAAATAATGTCGAAAAAAACATAATTATTCAGCTTGCATGGCAAATAACTCTATTTACAATTTAGTTTTTACACCATAGATCATAATCATATATTGCATTTCCCGATCGCTGTGATGATGTTCAATATTAACTGTCATGATATTATTATAGGTATTAATTTATTTCGCCGACGCTGAAACTGATTTTAGTTCAGTAATCACTTGCTTATTATTTTACATTTTCAAACATTAATTTTGTTTACGATTTTATTATCAGATAATTTTTTTGGTTAGGCATTTGGAGGGTCATTTATATTGAACATGGATCCTCCAAGCGAGTAACACATTTACGGTTAAAACAACAATAATCGGTATGACCTACTGGTAAATTTTACATAAAACGTATCATAAAAACAGTAATACTAAATGTAATAATATATTAAATATTACTTATAACTATCGTGTTATAACACATTATATAGTATAATTATTAAGGTTATTAACTATTTAGATTAAAAAATAAATGAACAATTATAATATATTATTACATTATAATATGAATATAATATAATAATATCAATCTAGACTAATATTAATGTCAACATCAATGTATATTGTATACATACATTTAAATATTTAATACCTAGTGAACGTTGAATAGCTTTTGAGCCATACGTAACATATTTTAATGGTCTTCTGAGTAAATTTGTTCTTCCCGATTATGACTTATTAAAGTAGATTTTTAAACACTAAATAATATTACTTAATATTCATAATACTATGTTATCATTACAACAGCTTACAACAAGTATCATTTTACATAATTCGGTGATAGTTGGTGCTTCGAGGTTGTATAGGGAATATATATTTAACTAATATTAGACATTTTTATGTATTCACAAATATAAAATTGTGTTCAAAATTATATAGTTCACAACAATGTGAACGGTTGTTTAAATGCATATAATAAAACTTATAAAATAAAAATATGTAATAATAACACTGAAGGAAGGTCATTATTACAAAGACAAAAATTGGTATAGGACCGATAAATGATAATATATTATTATACATTTTAAGATCGCTACATACTTAATTTATCATTAATAAAGTATTATTATATTATAATAATATATAAGTCAACTAAATTAGAGACTGTAAATATGTTATGCGCATTTAGTCCATTCATATAAAAATGTACATTTTAATAGAATTATAATACTATAAACAGAAACTTGATCGAGATTACTGTTGTACCTATGTTATTTTTAACTATTCGACTCCAAAAATTGTTTTAAATAATAATCGGAACCTAACAAACTAAACTAAGTATATAGGTGTGAATTAAAATGAACAAAATAGTTTAAATTACGACTGATATAATAGTACAAGTATATTATATAATATAAAGGAAAAAATTGACACGAATATAATATTATTAAACATATATTAAATAATGGTAACGGTTAATACAAATGCAAAGGAATAAAATTTGCAGGTACAAGAAGTATTGTAGACTGGGAAAATGCACGACGATAAGAAGAAAATAAAACGGTATTTACTGTGTGGAATATTTTATGTAAATATTTTACAATTTAATACAAAATATAATGCTGAATAACCCAAAACCAGTACCTATAATGGTCCACCTACAGGTATCCTACAGCCGATGTACTTCTTCGTAAACAATCATTGTTTTTTAGATTTATTTCTGTTTTGAACTTCTTTTATTTAGGTAGGTACTTTGAAATTCATGTGATGTAACGATTTTCAGTAGATGTGATGTATTAATATCATTATAGAATTGATGCGTAGGTATACTATTGACATCTATTATAGTCAGCATACGGTGGAATCTCGATAATGGTTGACGAAAACGAAAAATATCCTCTCAGAATAGTGTCTTACTATGTGTAAATAATGCAGAAATCATCAGATAGGCATTTTTTTTCGGCTATTAACAATGTTAGTGTGCGAATCATCATCACACTGGGTTTCATTATTATAGATACAAAATATTGTTATGATACAATACCATCGATTTGCAATTCTCCGGGCAATTCGCAATATCAACCCACCCGTCGCTTAGCGCTAGTACTTTTTTATTTCAAGTCCCTGCTAAACAATAATAAAACCGAATTGCCGAACATTCACTACCTACATAATATATCGAATAATGTGAATCTGACCATATCCACGTAGAAAGAGGAAACTAAATAAAAATATTTATTGACGTCGCTCAGTAGAGTAACCCACGTTCTACATATTATAATAGGTACCGTTTGCGAGTAGGTACCTACTCTTATTGAACTATTTAGTTTGTGTAGGTATACTTGAAAACATTTCCGGTGTTTAGATGAAACGGGGGTTTATTTTATGAGTGCTTGTCAGACAAAACGTCGACTTTGAAAGGAGCTGGTTGTTCGTTTTGATGGGAGGGGTAGTGGTTTGGTAAACAGGGCCAAGAAACCGTGTCGCCCTTTATAATAAATTATTAGAAGCAAATATATGCGTAGCGTACCGACTAATTAATCCCTTTTACGATTGGCCAGTCAGCCGAACCTAAGACGTTTAATCAAATCTCAGCCATTTGGATGTACGAGTCAAACATAAACTTCTCGGACGATCGACGAACTTTTAATCGCACGTAATATTATGAACAGACAAGTTAAACAAAATCGAAAAAAATCAAACTTATCGTTACACGTCAATAAAATAGTGTGTCATGCGTGCGCAAAACCCACGGAATTAAATGAGCACCGCGCAGAGTTCTACTAAAAAGTAGCTATTAGTGTTTTCTTTACACTACGGAACAGCTGTTAGGAAACCATTTAACCATCACAATAGTATAATAAGTGATCAGAGAAACTCCGTGGTTATAATATTTGCTAAGCTATAGTGACTTCAGTGACGAAGGAAACTGGGAAACTGAAGGATCAAACGCAAAATCATAATTGGTAAATTGGAATAAAGCAAGTGCCTATATTTAATATCTACTTTTAGATACAGCGAGAGTACGTTGAAAATGTGGTTTCAATATTTGACTGTTTTGTAAATTCGTTTGAAAATAGAATTACAAAAATCAAAAACAGCTTAGCATAAATCACTAAAAAAAAAAAAAAAAATAGAAAATAATAAAAACTAGTGATTTATTCCTACTTTTATTTATTTTTCATGCTAAACTGCTTATACCTAGTAATTTGTTTTCATGTTTGGTTTAAAAAAATACATAGTACATTAGGTATATTATATTGTATTCAATTTTTGATAACTAGAATATTATGTCACACTCATGGGACTTGAGAGTTATCGAGATCCCACTGCATCAACATTGTTTATTATATTATATTATGTTTTCTAAAAATATTTTAATATATTTTATATTCTAACTTATATCAAAGTTAAGACAGAGAAAGTTTTGCAGCTTAACCACCTACAACTATTCAGGAAATTAACCAATTTTCACTTTTTCTCACAAACACACACAGGTACATAAAATATAAGAACATAATATATAACTTATGTCATAAACTATCCCGTTTCGATTTATAACAAAATAAAACAATTGAGATAACATTTTCAAGTTTAACCTACTTTTTGGTCTTGTCTTTTGTGGTTTCTTTATAATTTATATATATATATATAATATATATATAAAGTATAAACAATGAATAATGAAACTCTCTGTACTTATTATCGACGACGATTTAAATATTTATTTTGGGCATGGTTATAGATTTAACACGAATGTTGATAAATTAAATATAATCACGTAAGATTCAAACAAAATGTTGTTTACGAAGTAAATTTGTCATCAACCAGTCACCAAGCACTAAACTACCTATATATTATTATTTATTATATAAACAATAATTAAACAGCTGTTTTAAACAGCGAACATAGGTTGGTCATTATTATTGGGGTATGTGATACAATGCTGGACTCGTGTAATAGAGAATGTGTTTTTATTTTGAGCTTGGAAAAATAATATTTGTGTGAGCTCTAATACAACGAATATAAAACATCAAAGGTAAGTTGGCCTACAAAAACAACAGCATGAGCTGACATTGGTGTATATTGAATTTCTTCTTCCTTTTCGTTTCCATTTGCTGTTTTCTGGTTCTAACGCTGCATTTTTTTCTGCAAAAATAAATAATAACAATAGTATTATTTTTTATAAAAAATATGACAAATAATGTATGTTGTATCAAAATACCAAATACCTAAGTATAAAAATAGTGAAATGAAGATCAACAGTAGAGAGTAAATTATTGTTAAAAAAATACATAGGTAATTACAGTAAAGTTTGTCAACAAGAGTACCCATTATCCTAACTCAAAAGTCATAAAAGATAACGAGCACATACATTTTGGTCAAATTTCTACCTAAAATGTGAAATATATTTGTTATAACTTTTAAGAGACTCACAGAAAAATGTCAAATACTTTATAATTTTTGTAGAAATTGATAGTTATACAATTAACAAGATGTAATATTTTGATATTGAAAATTAATATTGGATTCGAATTTCAATATCACAGTTACCGATCTTAAAATATCATGCGATTTAGACTTTTGAAACCTTTGTACAATTATACACAGTTTATAAAGTTTCAATTGTTCATTATTATTTTCACTTAAAAATAATTCCATAGATCCTAAAAAAAAAATAAGGAGAATGTGTAAGCTAAAAAATACATTTATTTGAAAATAAATTTCATTTTATTATACAAGAAGAAAGATTAAACATTAAACAACTATAATCTATATAGAAGTTTATGAATATCAGAACATATAATTTGGATTTTTTGATAAAAAATAAAGAGTGTTTTATTAAATTATATAACGTTACCATTAAATATATTTACCGTAGTTCTTTTTATTTTTATCGTTTAAATAAAACACAAAGAAAAATAATAATAAAAAATAAATGGTTTTTGTTACACGCGCATATCGTGCATAATATATACATAGTTATAAGTTATAACGTATAATATACATACCAGCTGCGGTGTCTTGTTGTGGAAGGAATTCTTGCATGTCTTGGATAAGTCTGGCCAGGTCTTGACTGTCTTTGGCTATACTGCAGATTTCTTCTTGGTTGAAGTCCGGTTGGATTTGTTTGCACAAAAGTATTTGGCTAATGACGTTGCCGATGTTTGACGGCCCTGCACGGTTTTCTGTATGATACATAATATTATTATTGACAGGAAAACAAAATTAATAATATTGATGTAGATTAGCTGCTATAATGACACGAAATTATTAGCTTAGGTTTTATGTGTGTGATTTTTTTGATTTTCACCAACCGAAATATCCGGTCATGTCCATCGGTATGAGCTGTACAAGACGACTACATTTTCCGAGTTCACGTAACATCATCTGGCACAGGTAGAACAGCAGGGCCAACTCGGGGTGATCCAACAGCGATGATTCTAAATTTGACCTGGCAAAAAAAAAATCTGATATATTTCTTTTTTTTTTTAATCGTGCACGTTTTTAAAACGAATTCCTAAACGTCATTCAATACATGTACATATATATATAAATTATACACACTGCCACATTTCGCTGGTGCGTGCAATATCGATCAGACGAGTGTCACTGTACCTACCTATATAATTTTGGGTGTAGGCAACGCTGCGCTGCGACGTAAATCCCCCGACCGGGTTGGCGAGATTCGTACATTATATATTATATATATTTATTGCATTTATAACGATTATACATATGTTGATATATATATATATATACATAATTTATTATCTATATACGTTGGAATGTAATTACTTTACATGGGTGTCGTAAATTTAAAATGCAATTTAATCGGTATTGTTTTAAAAATACATTTTGTGCACGCTTTGCCTATGTAGGTATGATATATTTTTGAAGATGGGCATTCCATATTAATTAGAAAACGAGTAGGTATTGTTACATTTCAAAATATTAACATCCGGATTTATCTTTTCTTATTCGACTTACATTTATCTTATGAAACTTCAATTTTTCCCACAAATATATCGTTCCCATTTGGTTCGAGGCTTTTAATAGCTTTATATTTTGTTTAATACGTCAATTGGATTTAACGGAGTGTAGTTTGTGTAGCAGGCTGTAACGGTTTTCCAAAGAAAATCCAGTAATTATATCGACAGTTTTGGTAGGTATTCGTTTTGAAAGAAATGATTTGTTTACAGACTTTTAAAGTGGCCACATCTGTTATTTTGCTGAATAAAGGTAAAAATCCATATTTTAATAATAATTGATTAATAAAAACAATATGAGTTTGGATCATCAAAAAAACCAGTAAAATGAATATAATTTATGAATGTTATATTATATATTTTATGACACAATGTAGTAGTTAACAACTTAAAAAAAATTTACTTAGAAATTTCATATTATGAAAAATTATAAGAAAAAACAATATTATTATAGTATTATTATATTTATTATATTATTTTTAATGAATTATCCAGTAACTATTAAGAATAATAGAAAAACATGTTCACTGGTTCATATGAAACGAAAACTTTCATAAAACCTTCCAAGTAATAGAAATCCAAGATCCAAAAATTTCCATAGGTATTTAATTTAATTTAGCCTTTGATTAAAGTAAAATAAAAATTTGTATTCATCAATTAAAGTACATACTAGACCACCTATTTATACTATCATTGTTACTATCATATTATTTGATTATTATTATTTTTATAACTTCTATGTATAATACTAATTATTATTAAAAAAGTGAAACGTAAACTGTACTATTCTAGATTATTATGTATGCACTATGTAAAGTTAAATATTGGAATACAGAATGTTTTATTATAAAATAGTATAAAAGATATAATTAGGCCAAGAAAATATAATACTATAGGTACTAGGTAATCCATAATATACATGGGCGTGTACATATTATGAATCAACGGATTTAAGAAAATTTGATTTCGATTTTTCTTTTCATTACGCTATAATACTTAGGTAACTATATTAGATTATATTTTTATTTAATATTCGGAAGTAAAATAGTTATCTGAGTAAAAAGGTCTCTATCATCATAATGTATATTGCATATAAATATCGAACCAATAGTCAATTACTTATTGACACTAATTAATGTTTGGATGTTGCTGATAGGGGTGTGTAAAAATTGAGTGAGATATTTGCCACGCCATTCCACTTATCTAAACATTAACATTAAAATGGTTGTAAATAAGTGACTATTGGTTTAGTATTTGATATTAATAAATGATAAAAAATCACTTTTCATAATAATGTATTTATAACTTCCCAAATAAAAATATACCACAGTAAAACATTTTGACTGGTCGGTAACCATGCTTTTAGTATAAGATGAATTAAGTACGCACTCATTTCTATACATAATATTATATACCAGCTTTAAATATTTGCCCAATCTCGGGGTTATTATAAAGTATAAACTGTACAAGGATCATGGCAACCAAATAATTTCAAATCTGTAACAAATAATAATATTCCCGTTTAATCGTGCAATTAAACTCACTCTTGAAAATAGTACTCAATGTTATAATACTATAGTTGTAATGTTCTTATTACGTGTTGTATCTAATATTATTTAATAATACATAATAATATATGTAATATTCGATTTGTATAATACTATATCGTCTTTGCAATGATCATGATTACACTTATGATAACATGTGTGTTGAGTACGAAATCGAGTCTTTGCGACGACGGATACCGAATTGAAAACAACAGGGAGGGTGAGTTAAATTATGTAAACGACAAAACGGCTCTCACGAATCGAATTATATTTATACCTAAATGCACGTAAACTATTGTTTCAGTGATTCAATAATCACAGTTTTATTTGGTTTCCGCATACAAGTATAGTTTAATTCATAACCACCTGACATATTAATTATGAACATATTATACATATTATGTAAGCAGAAAGCTAGCAAATATATGTATTAAATGCCATCTATTAATCTATATAGTAGGCATTATTTGAGTACTTAGCATAGGCGCACATAGGGTGTGAATTTAGGGGGTGCTGGGATAATTTATGGTTCACAGATCCGTGGGGGGCTTTGCCCCCCACACCCCCCTAATCCTAATATTTCTGCATTGCATTAGATTTAATTTGTATAGTGTATACTTTAATTTCTAAAGTGCAATGTATCAAATAGTCTGTATGATTGTAAAGAAGACGCTAGGTACACCCACATGTGTTGTCTCCGTATTACAGACGTAGGTACAACATAGGCAAAACTGTTTTGCACGGGTATAAAAAAACATTCAGGCTCTACTCTAAGCTAAGAAACTAAATGTTCACACTATAAAAATGAGAAAATTTACACTGTAACTTTGTTTTTATATTTCCGATATCAAAACCAAAATAAAAGTTATTTAAGTTTGATAAACAAAAAAAGGTGCTCTGCTGTACAGTAGAGTACAAGTGGGTCACTGTATAATCGATGGTATTAAATTTGAATTCAATGATATACTAACATCATTGTATAAGAAAAACGATTCTGAGCGAAGACGGTTAGTCAGCCTATGATATTACTAAGTATATTTGATGATACTAAGGTAAATAAAGCAATTTATATATAACCTATTTACGTAGAATCTTGTTTTAAATTTTCAATCATTAGCTATAAAAGTTGAACATTTTATAAAATTTTAACTATAAAATTATTATTAAATTTTAAATGTGATAAATTTTGTCAAAATTTGAATTTTAAATAATTATAAAAAAAAAAATGTGCCTATGTATTTTTAATATTTTTCAAGTTTTATTGTTTTAACAATATATCAGGAGCTTTGCATTAAATTTTCAAGCTTTTTTACCATACAAATAAAATTTTATTGATATGAATAGAAAAAAAAATTAAAAAAATTGAAAACTGAAAATGTCCGTAAATAGCTCAAAAAGAATCAAAACTATATGGTGTATAGGAAATGCTAATATAAAAATTTAGTAAAATTTTCAAGTATCTACAGTCATTCGTTTTTTAATTACAACAAAATTAGAAAATCGTTACATGAGAAATCGAGTGAATATCAAATGTTGTAAAAATATGAATTTCAAACGTTCATAAAAATTTAATTTGAGATTCTTGTAGACATTTTTTTTTTGATAAAGGTAGACAAACTTATGAGGAATCTTGCATTACATTTTCATATCTTAGATTTAAAAAGAAAAATTTTTATGAATTTCTAACTCGGAATAATTTGCAAATTTTCGTCATTTTCACGTATTTTGTCAATATTTGGAATTTAAATGTTTATAACAAAAAACTGTAACTAAGGATTTTTAATATTTTTCATCTGTCTTTGAAACAATATATTAGGAGCCTTCTATTAAATGTTAAAGCTTTTATACCCAACAAATAACATTTTATTGATACTTATAGAAAAAAAAACTAAAAAAAATGGAAACTAAAAATGTCCATAAAAAGCTCAAAATAACTCAAAATATTTAGAAAATTTTATGATGTATATAAAATGGAAATATAAATAACCAGTGAAAATTTCATTTATCTACGGTCATTTGTTTTAAAGTTACAACAAAAACCAAAATCAATTTTCTCGAAAACAGATTTTGCGTAAAAATTCCCGTTTTTCCTTAATTTTTCTTTTGTTTTTCACGTCGCTTTTGAAAACTACTGTGAAATTTTTGCTTTTGACCCCCCAAAGTACCAACTAGATTCACTTTCCTATCAGAAAAGATACTGTTGAAGAAAATCTAAGCACTTTTTCTGTCCTAAAAGATGATGACAGACAAAAAAAAAAAAAAATGAATTCGTGAATTCATAAACAGTTGTCAATATTTGTAATGAAAAGAAAAATTCCGAACCAATAAATCACGATAGTTTATAAATGATTGGTGAAATACTGAAATAAACTGAGGGTGCTAGTTTGAAGCTTGGGGGTGCTAAGCACCCCCAAGCACCCCCCTATGTGCGCCTATGGTACTTAGTTTGAGTAGTAAATTACAATTAAAATAGTATTTTGTTAAAATATTGAGTTATTACTTAGGTGGGTACCTACCTACCAAAATAGTAATAGTTGTTAAAATTATCTGTTAAATTTAAAGGTAAAAATATTATCAAGATCCCATATAGGGCAATATTAAAAGTTATTTCAGATAATTTAATTTAGAGCAACTTTTGAGCATATTAAAATTGTAAATTTCTATTAAAATAAGTACTATAATATATTCTTTCATATTATGTAGAGTGATTCACCAAGCATACTCTCCCCCTTTTTTCTTCAATAATGCAGTTATTCAAAATCTGATTTTTAAAATTGTTAAATATACTTAAAGACCATATTTTCAAATTCTTGAGTTTCTTTTTACCTACTACAGGGTGTCCTATGGAGATACAGATTTCTATTTTTTAAATGAGAACCCCTCTTTTCTACAGTAAATTATTTAGTGGTTTTCATGAT